TATAAAGACATAACTGTAAGTATCTATTCTTAAATAGACACCTATTTATAAACAGATACAACCCTATAGATAAAACTAACTCTTTATTTTTCAACAGTTCCAAACCAACAGAAATAGAATTAATGTCAGAAAAATAAAAGAAATAAATAAATAAAGTCTTGAGTCTGGGATTTTATTCTGTCCTGAAGCCTTGGATAATCTGGAAGCACTGAAGCCTGCAACTATTATTAGAAATGCTGCCTTCTACTTTCAAGTTCATTCATTCACTTCAATCAAGCAGCTAGTTTCTCATCCTTTTAGCAAGAACTTGAGGATTTCCAACCTGAATCAGGACCATCCAACATGTAAGCTCCAGACATCAAAACGCTGTCAAGATCTAACCTAATTCCAAAATAGCAACAACAAAAGTTGAAGCTAGAGGTTCTGAATATTACAGTGAGGAATTAGCATCATGAATATACTTTAGATGATCAGAGAATTAGAATTCGTATTTATATTTTACACATAGTTTTGTCACACAAATAGACCTGACAAGAATGGTTTATAGGTGTAGTAGCTTAATAAGAACCACACGACTACAAATATAACCTTTCAAACTGCAACTTGAGGCAATATCATACATTCATACAGCCTTGAGCTTCATGTAACTATAATCCAACTAATACGCCATCTCAAGAATAGTCTGTCATCTGAGACAAAGAAATGAAGAATCATGTGCTGGACACCAACTTTGTTTAATCAAACAGTTGAGTCACAGTGAAAAGATATGATCAAGCTACGTTGAAAGATAAAAGTATATTTAAGAGTATTATATATTTTTAACTAATGGACAAGAAGTAACAATCACATTGCCTTCTATGTTGAAAGAATTATTCATGAGGCAAACAAATCAGTATTACAGATTTAGCACAGATATAGTGTAATTTAATTAATTGTCCAGTTGATGACAGAAGGCATTTTAAATATTCAAAGTGGAGGGGGTGTTTAGACTTTAGAAACCATTTTTAATTACTATATTAGAGAAAAAAGCAGCTATGAAATCAAGAACAGATCTTTTCCTTGCCTTCTTGGTGATCTTTACCACTCCTTTAAAGTTACAGATAGGTTATAGAATTATAGGTGGTGACATTTTAGGAAGAGGTAGGTTGCCTTAGTTACGAACGAGCTTGGCTTGTGTTGAAATTGAGGGATTGAAAGGTTTGGCAGGTGGTGAATAGCCACCACCCGTTAGTTAGGCAGAAACAAAATATGTGAGAAACCAAAGAAAAAGAGAATAGAAAGAATATATTATAATGAGATATTACAATAGACTGTCTCTGTGTACCCTTTATATTTCTATTTATATTAAAATGTATAAAGATCCTATATTAATAGGAACAATGAGGCAAAATGAATCCTATTAGGAATAGGAAACTAAGCCCACTCCTACTAAGAATAGGACTAAGGTTTCCTACTATTCAACACTCTCAAATTGGAACATCTAGAAGTAACTAAAAGTTGAGTTTTAGTGGTGATGGTTGGTGCGTGTGAGAGGGTATCCTCACATCGGTATCATCTCAAAGAGTGGACCGAAAGGGAGTTGAATAGTAGGTGATTAAGCACAAAAGTGTCTACTGTTTGGAATCTAGTTCAAATCATTAGGTTTAAAGTGTAAACAAACAAGTAAATGCAAAGTAATAAGCAAAGCAAATGACAAACAATAGGTAAAGGTAGGGGTTTGGATTAAACCACTCTTGCTTAGATGGTATAGAGCTTTCCTAGGTTAGGGATCATGTGATGGATTATCATGGATCAAGGAAGATGCTACTCAATGCCAAAGTCATTTTCATGGTCATTTGACTTCTAATTGAGATTAGATCCCATTATCATGGTGATTAATTCAATTGGTGCATTTTATCAAACATATAGTGTTTACATCTTCCAACCTATTTTAATCGAAGTGAAGTTGGAAATGTGAGTGGTGTGGCTATAGTGTTGTCTCATTCTCATAGTAACAATACACATCCATAATTGATTATCTTGTATAATTGGGTCCAAATTATACAAGAGTCCATATAATTCACCAAACTCACAACAAAAACCCTAGTTAATGCATCACATTGCAATTTAATTCACTCAAGCATCCATACAAGAGAGCTCAATCCAAATCCCTAAGATGAATCTAGCTACTCATACTTTGAATTGAAAGACAAAACACAAATTGGAATGGAAGCCCCATTGCAAGAACAATTAAGTTGAAGAAAATGTAAAGTATGTAAAGAAGACTTAGCTTTGATCAAGAGAGAAATTGGAGATGCAATCTTGAAATTGAAAGTAAAGTTGAATTACAAGTTGGAAATCACTTTATATCTTCATCAAATGTCGAAATGTTGTGGAAAGGTTTCTCTCTAAGGAAACCTTGCAAAGAGAGTGGGAGACTGGAGAGTGATTCGAAAACAACCGCCTAGACATATTTATACCCCCAAATTCGCGCCAAAATGAACAAATCTTAGCTTTCTGGATACATGTTCATAGTCTACCTCATGCCTGTGAGTTCCACCGTGAGTTTTAATCATAGCTCGCAGGTTCCAAGGCTCACGGTGGACCTCACGCCCACGAGGTCGGCCGTGACCATTTACTCTATGCAGCAATTCTGGTTTCTAAGTCATTTTCATCTTGTAAACGTCTGAATTAGACTTTGTGGTCTTCATTGAAGTTGTAGCTCTTTCAATTATCTTTCCACAATGCCATTTGAATCAGTTGATTTGGATATTCCTACACTCAGATATGGTTAAAATACCGAGATGTCGCCTAATAGAGAAAACATAGCAAAATTTTGTCACGCTGACACTCACAGGCGTTAGTGTCAGCGTGAGCCTTGATCTTCACTCCAAAATGCAAATTTCTTCATTTCCTTCCTTCCTTTGGGTTCCTGGGTTATGCCATGATACTTCCAACATGCTCTTTTTCACTTTCTTAACCTCTCATGACTCTCGAAACACACATTTGTGCCGATGACTTTAAAACACATCCAATTTAGCTCCAATTCACATGATCTTACAATCGATGCCTCCAAATCACCTAAATGACACAAAGAGGTCAAATAAGCACATACTTAGCTTCCAATTAACATAAAATTCAAATATGTACATAAAAGTAGTAAGAATTAGTGCTTATCACGCACCCAGGACAAAGCAGAACACAACGCTATGCACGACCCTTGGGAATGAAAATGAACACACCAAGGATGGAACTAAAGTACTGAACATAAACAACCTCAGGAATTCTTATCTGTACAAATGGTACTTCGAACTCGAAACGAGTATGACCCTTCATTTCGGCCCTTGTAGCACGTGTGTCGCCCTGGGCATAAGGGGCATGATGACTTGATGTCATCCTCAACATTCATACAACGGTATGAACACGATACCAAGGCAAACCCATGGAAAGACACCGTGTAACTTTATTGCAGAATTTTGATTCAAAGGAAAAAGGGCGTGGAGCTCAAATAACTCACTCGGTGTGTGATATCTAGGTGATTGTGGAAGTCAAAAGGAAAAAGGGAAATGCTTTTTGATACTAATTGAGCTTCACCTGTGACATAGATAATTGATCATTAAATCAGCTTGCAATTAATTCACAAAGGTAATAAACAACTATTCCAACCATTGCATTCACTTGAAAGATCAAGGAGGATTAGACTAGATTTAGCCAAGTAATGACAACTTTAATAATCATCCACTAACTTGTACGGAGTATTAAAAAATCAATGGCCTTAAGTTAATCAGTGGTGAAAACTGATTATTGGTTTAACACAATGATGCACATGTTGTTTTTAAAAAATTGCAAAAATTAGTTCACCTTACAATGAGACAATCAGCTAGTCAAAAAATAGGTTTTAAGAAATTACTGAGAATCACTTCATTAAAAGAATCCAAACAATACTTCCGAATCAGAACATGATGCTAAAAATTATACAAAGATAAAAACCAATAAAATATGCTGACAGCAAAATTAGTATTAAATTTATCGCTTACCTTTTCTAAACAGATAACATTACATGACAACATGATATTGCCAAATTCATTTGTTTGGCAATTGATTCATTGTTTAAATTATTATTAAAAAAAAAAAATGAGTTGATATTATAAGTACACCAACCACCTAAAAAGGGATCATTATAATTCAGGTAGTAAGCATGCTGCTAGAATCAACAATCAACAATTAGAAAGGAAAATTTGCAGTTTTGGACGTTTTGGTGTCTTTGTTATAGGGGTATACAGCACTCAATCTTTCACTTGTTGTCGTCTCCACTATTCGTTCTTGGTTGACACCGAAAACCGAAGTGGTGGTTTTGGTACTCAAAATGAATAATTTGCAATGGAATTAGAGTGAGAAGATAGCATCAATAGCGAGTAGAAGGGCACTTGAACTCAAGGAGACTCCAAGTGGTAAGTTTTTCACTATACATATTTTATATCCAAGGACCAAAAACATAATTTCAGTGTCAACAAAAGGACTAAAAGTGGAGGCATCAACAACTAAGGGATTGAGTGCACTACACTCTTGTTATAATCTAAGATTGGGCCAAGATCACTCAATGGGCTAAACCACACTAAAAGATAAGCTCTCAACGCCACCCTCAATACCACGGGTAGACAATCGGGTGAACACAAAGTGGACCAAACAGGCCCATGTTCTAATTTAAGATTGAGCCAAAATCACTCAATTAGGCTATGATACACATGGGCCAAACCACACTAAAAGATCGAATCCAATCAATTAGTTAATCTAACCCATGGCCTTATAAACCCATATGTTCTCTCTTATTTTTCAATGTGGGACTCTTAACAATTCTCATAACTAAGGGATAAAATGTGTCATTTTCCCATTTAGGAAATAATTAGGACTTCAGCAACAATGAACTAGGATGCACACAAAAACTCAACGTTTCACAATCAAATAATTCCATGTGCATTCATATATGAGATCCTTATGAGGGCATGGATTAATTTCTCAGAAATAAAAAAGAGAATATGAAATTGCCAATCGTAATGAGTCCAAAAATCATTCAGGTAATATGATATAGGTAAACCACGAGATGCCTTTAATTACCTATATCACTAGTATACTCAAGTTGAAGAAATCGCCAGCTGTAATGAGTCCAAAAATCACATGTAATACAATATAGGCAAACCATGACACGCCTTTAATTACCTATATCACTAGTATACTCAAGTTGAAGAAATATGAAAACGTAACGATTTGTAAGACCAAGGAAGCAAAGAGAAATGCAAATAAGATGTATTTAGTGAATTTGAGATGAAAGACTTTTGTTGGCATTAACCCACTAAGAGGTGGTTCTCTAAAGTAAATATGATATAGGCAAACTACAATAGGTTTTTCATTGCTTGACCTCTAGTATACTCAAGTTAAAGAATATATCAAAAATGAACTATGCATAAATCCATGAAAGTATTGGAATACTACTACACCGCAAGAGGTTAGACAATCTAATACTATTCTTACCCAAGCACACTTAAGAGATCTTATCAAATAGGATACATATACACTAGAAAGGTGAATCCAACGGTTTTACATAGTTTTATGCTAGCTGTCAACTAGTCAACCTAGTGCCAACACAACCTTCCACTATCCAAGTTTAGACTACCTCTTTTAATGAACATAGGTGGAGTAAAACAAAACTTCTTTTGAAGCCCACTGAAATGTCGGCAGGAAAGGCCAAAACTCCAGCTACCATACGAGCTGTTGCAACACCAATGCACCATCTGTAAAACACGTGTCTTTCACATGGAAGAACTTTATTTTCATGAACACTCAATATACAACCGTCTTCTACCTCAACTCAATCCATAGTTTCATCTACATCTTCATCAAGCTTACTCTACATAGAGCAACATACTCACACTCTTAAATACAGTGAGGGCATTGGGTGTTTCCTAGTCTCTAGGCTCATTGCTCTCATTTTAAGTGCTTTCTCAAATCTCATTTGCCTCGCAGTGACAATGAGCAATATAGTCTTCCAAGAACCAAGAATAAGAGAACACATCAGTCTCGAAAGTCTCGGCGAGGGCATACGTTTGAACATTCTAACTAATGCAATACATCTATGCACAGCTATGTCTATTATGCTCTTTATTGAACGGGTTTATATGGCAATTGTAATCACATGTGCGAAGTGCTTTGAGAAGAAGAGATATATGAAACATAAGTCGGATGCAATGAAAGAAGACCTTGAGCAAAACAGAAACTATCCCATGGTGCTGGTCCAAATCCCTATGTATAATGAAAAGGAGGTAATATTCACTATTTTCATTTATGTTATTATACATTATGCATTAATTGCATTTATTTGTAATCTTAGTGCATGCATACTGAAATAATAAGCATAAAACTTCGCAAAATGCGCAATTACTGAAACTCGGCCTAGGCGGCAGCATTTTATTTGAATGTTCGATTAGTCAGTCAAGCAGCCAACTAATCGAACAGATGATCATCTCGGCTGCTTAAAAAAAAAGTTGTTTCGCTCAAAACTACATCATTTTGAGCAAAACAACCCTTAAAAAGGGAAAAGTGAAAAATGAAGACTTGTGTGATTAAAGGAATGTGCGAATGTATATTCTCTCTTTTTTTTTTTTTTTTTTTTTGGATCAGAAAGGAGGGGGAAACCCAACGCAGCTAAGAGCAGCAGCTCATTGTCTACATACACGTCTGGTCGATGCAGCTCCTACCCTATCGAGGGCAAGCAACTCCTCCGTTTCCAGAGGAGGTGTTTCAAGAAGTATATGGTCCTCCTGCTGAGAAAAAGCCATGTCCGCCAATTTATCCGCCAGGCGATTTTGTTCTCTGTAAATGTGAACAAAGCGCAGATCTGGAAAATCCTCTGCTTCCCTAATGCAAAGCCTCGCGATATTGTTTAAAAGATGTCCATCGCCGTCGCCCTGCCGCAAGGCCTCTACCAAAGGTTTCGAATCACACTCAAGAACAAGGGGCCGTACACCATAATCTTTGACCATCCGCAAGCCCTGCAGAACACCCCAAGCTTCCGCTACGTCTGTCGTACACCTGCCAATTTTGTAGCCAAAACCTCGGAGCCAGGTCCCGTTGCTATCCCTGAGGACACCCCCACAAGTCGCTTGGCCATCATTCCTTCTGCTGCCATCCACGTTTAATTTCAAGCTACCCTCCACCGGTCTCGTCCAAGCCAAACTAGCCTCGATGTCCCGATTGTACCTTTGTAACGGCCGGCTTTGTCTAGGAAAGCGCTCGCAATTTCCCCAACGCAACGTCGCAGCCAGTCCAGCTTGTGATCTAAAGGCACGTTAGTGCCATTAAAAGTTCCCTCATTCCGCCACCTCCACAGCCACCACATTCTGGTCGCGAACCGCTCGGGCCAACCCTCCACAAATCCGTCCTTCATATTACCGTGCAGATTTGTTTTGAGCTAGGCTTCCCAGTCGAGGTTTTGCAATCTCTCCGTCGCGTGCCTGTGTAGGGCATGCCCCCAAATATGCGACGCCGCAACACACCTACGGAACAGATGGTCCATATCCTCCCGCTTACCTGCACAAAGAAAACACATTTCATTAGAAGTCAGGTGTCTCCTTGTGCGCTCATAATTCGTCATGATTTTCTGGTGTTTAGCAAGCCAGAGAAACATCGAGATTTTGGCCGGCACTTTCAGCTTCCAAATCAGAGTCCAGTCCTTGTCCACCTCCCTCGCTATGGGCGCAATCGCCAGGCTATATGCTGATCTCACTGTAACTCGTCCTTGTGTGTCCGGGCCCCAGCCCCACTCATCCTCGACGTTTGGCTCTGCTAGGCAAAACCCGGCGAGGCGCTCTAGATCGTCACTTGGAAGGTGTTGTCGCAATACCTCCCATTTCCATCCTCTGGCTCGTTCCCAATATTCATCCACCTTTGCGTAGAACTCGGAGAGCCCCAAAGATCCACTCAGCTTCTCGTACAGCGGTTTTGGGGTAAGCCATGCATCCAGCCAAAAACGAGTCGTCCTCCCATTCCGAACCACACGCATGAGTCCGGATTCCAGAATACCTGTAGCAGCCACAATTCCTTTCCAAGCATTTGAAGTGCTTCGTCTACCTGACCCAAATCGGATTGAGTCTGGTTCTTGCTTGTACTTACTAGTTAAAGTTCGTGTCCACAAAGCGTCTGGTTCTGTTTTAATCCTCCAACACAGCTTCGTCATGCACGCATTGTTCATGGCATGCATGTTTCTTAAACCCAGTCCTCCACGTGCCTTCTCTGTAGTGAGCACCTCCCAATTTACCAGGCTCATTTTTTTCTCCCCTGTTTGGTCGTTTTGCCCCCAAATGAAACGCCTAGTCCGTTTCTCAATCTCATTGCAAATGCCCTTAGAAAGATAGGCCGTTTGCATTGTATATATTGGAATGGCATTAAGAACTGATTTTGCCAAGGTGACTCTCCCCGCTAAGGATAGAGTTTTGGTTTTCCATCCCTCTAGACGGGCCGAAATCCTATCCAAAAGCCCCGAATAGGTATTGCACGTAACCCTTCCATGCAGAGATGGTACGCCCAAATATCTCCCCAAATCCTTCGTCTCTGCAATGTTCAATTTCGTGGCCAAATCTTGCGCACGATCGGATGGAGTATTCTTCGAAAAAAATACTTGAGACTTGCTCAGATTGATTTTCTGTCCGGAGGCTTCGCAGAAGGAACGTAGGCATTCCTGTACCACCTCCACTTGCTCGCAAGACGCCTCGGTAAAAAGCACCATATCATCTGCAAAACAAAGGTGAGATAAAATAGGCCCAGATGGGGCCAGCTTGATGCCTTTCCAAGCCCTATCTTCCACCTTTGACACAATAAGTTGGCTCAACCGTTCCATGCATAAGACAAAGATGGCTGGGGACATGGCGTCACCTTGGCGGATTCCCCGCTTTGGTCAGAACTGCTCCAGCCTCTCGCCATTCCAAATAATCGACAACCTGGAAGAAGAAATACAAGTCATTATAATATTTCCCCAAAAATCCTCAAAACCTACTTGAAACAATGTGTCCCGTATAAAAGCCCAGGAGAGCCGATCATAGGCTTTCTCCAGGTCCAACTTGATCGCCATGTAGTTTGTTTTCCCCCGCGACTCACGCATTGTGTGCATCACCTCTTGGTATACAATAACATTGTCCGATATTTGCCGTCCCGGGACAAAGGAGCTTTGATACGGCCCCACAACTTTGGGTAGAACTTGCTTTAACCTGTTCGTGATTGTCTTTGTCAGAATTTTATAGCTCACGTTGCATAGGCTGATCGGCCTGAATTGCTTAATCGATTCCGGGGCCAGAACCTTCGGGATCAGGGCGACTAGGGTATCGTTAATCCCTTCCGGAAGCTGACCAGTCTGAATCGCGTCCTTGACCAACTGAAAAATGTTGTCCCCCGTAATGTCCCACATATGTTGATAAAACCCTGCTGGGATGCCGTCCGGGCCCGGCGCCTTAAACGGTTTCATGTCAAAGACCGCCGCTTGAACTTCCTCCTTGGTCACTGCCCTGTTAAACACCCTCCAGTCTATGTTGCGAATGCGGGGAAAATTTGCGCCTAAATTCAGATCAAGCACCCCCTCTTCAGACCCAGCAAACAAATTGTAGTAAAACGACCTAACATGGTCCCGCAACTCGTCACCGTCCTGCATCCACCTCCCAGTGTCGTCCTTAAGTCCCAGGACCTTCGTTCGCGACTTCTTCACGGTGGCGACCGCGTGATAAAACTTGGTATTTCTGTCTCCTGATCTGATCCAATCTTCTCTGGATCGCTGGAACCACAGCAATTCCTCCTGATAAAGCGTGTCCTCCAACTGAGATTGTAGCCTTTTCTCTAGTCTATAAAGACCCCTATGGGCCCCACGTGTTGTGGCCCTTTGAATGCCACCTAACCTAGCCAAGAGGTTGCGTTTGCGAATGTGGACATTTCCAAACACTTCTTTATTCTAGTGTCGGAATTCCACGTCCTGCTTACCACCTCAGGCAGATCGCGATGCGTGGTCCATGCTGCCTGAAAAAGAAAAGGACTAACATTATTAGGGCGTTGCCGTCCTTGCAGACGAATTAAAAGCGGCGCGTGGTCCGAGGCTACACGTGGCAAGTGCTCCACCATTGCGTCGGGAAAGCAGCCTCGCTAGTCAAAGTTGCACAAAGCCCGGTCCAGTCTAGCCCCTTTCAAGGAATCCGTGGACTCGTCTTTAACCCAAGTTAAACGTGAACCTGCAAAGCCCATATCAATAAGGCCCTCGTCTTGAATCCAATTAACAAAATCTGAGCTCCGCTGGGCCGAGAAGTAGAGCCGTCAAAAATGGGTTTTACCCGCCGGGTCGACCTGTCCCGTACCGCCGTAGGTAGGGGACGAGTTCTTCAAATTTTGATCCGCTAGGAGGCGGGCTTTTTAGCCCGTCCCGCCTGGGTCACGGGTCCAGGCGGGGCGGGTCAGGCGGGTCACGGGTTTAGCCCGCGACCTGCTAATACATATATATTTTGTATATATATTTAGTATTTAATATATGTTATTTTGGTTTGTGTAATTGTGTTAGTGTGTTATAACTTATAGGATTATAGATTTATAGGAATACAATACTAGGTAGTGTTACTGTACGTCTATACAGTGATTCTTTTTTTTTTTTTTTAAGGATATTGTACAATGATTTTTTTTTTTTTAAATTAACACAGTGAAAAAATTGATTGGCGGGCTTTGGCATGGCGGGGCAGGCCGGCCACATTCCAAGCCCGCTAAGAGGCGGGCTTTGGTGTGTTTTGGCCCGTCCCGCCCCGCGAGACCGTTTCGACGGCTCTACCGAGAAGGAGACATAATTCATCGTTTCCTCCCTCGAGGTTACTGAATTGAAATCCCCAGCCACCATCCACGGGCACTGCGGGCCCCGTTTTGACTGGGACAAATCTCTCCACAGCCTTCGTCTCAGGTGGTGGGCCGGGCTCCCATACACTGGCGCAAACATCCAGGGCGGTTTCCCGCTTTGCCTAACCTGAAATAGAATAAACTGGGGGTGAGTAAACAGGATGTCTAGGTGCACCGGTTCCTTCCAGAGGACCCAAATGCCCCCACTGAAGCCCACCGCCTCCACGCGGACCCAATCCGAAAACCCGAGATTGGAACAAATCTTGTTCGCCTGAATCCCCGAGACTTTTGGTTTAAAGAGTCCCAAGATAGTCGGCTTGTAAACCTGCAGCATGAGATTAAGGGCACGGTGGACCGCCCGTCCACTCGCCCCTTGACAATTCCATAGCATAAGATCCATAAAAGATAAAAAAAAATAAGGAAAAAAACAAGCTTAAAACAAAAAGCAGACCACACCAGAAAAACCAAAAAATGAAAAGCCTTACTCAACGGCCATTGCCGGCCAGCTCCCCCTCAAGAGATGCTCGAATCTCCCCTAACTCCATCACCGCGTCACCTTCGTTGTCGAACCGTTCTGGGGGGTCCGTATGGTGCTCCTTTGTGTGTTGCCAGACCGGTGACGGGAGGTCACCCATCTCGCTTCCGGCCAGAACTCGTGATGAGTGTATAACAAGACCCCCCTGCTTTCCACGAACGACAGTGTGTTCATCTTCTTCCACCGCTCTTCTATAGCCCCCTTCGACCCCTCGGCGAGACGCCACTGCCCCTTCCCCAATTCGTACCGGAGATCTGTTCAAAGAAATTGGTTCGTTTTGTATTTGTTTCTCCACCGCTATAACATTTGGGCGCCTTGTGCCCGTGATCCCAGCTCCCTCGGCGCGTTTCGCTCTTGGCGATACTGCCCCACCATGCGTTTGCACAGTCTCGCGGTCCGTTCCACCATTCACAGCCACCGCCTCCACCTCTTGGACTTCCTCATCATCCTCACCGTCTGCCAATGGCGCAAACCTGGACGCCGGAACCTGAGCATTTCTCCCCTCTGTAGATCCCAGCTTACGCTCCTGGGACACACGGGTTGGCTTCCCCATCTGTTTGCCTCCAGGTCTGCCCTTCCTCCCTGGCGCTATCATCCATTGTCCAAATGGCTCGGCACCAACAGCGATCCCGCGTGGCATTTCAGGGACCTTGGCCGCCACCTCGTTCTGCTGTGCTTGGTCTTGGGAGGCCTCAGGCCTCACTTTCTTTGGACATGCATCAGGGGAGTGCCCGTAAATTCCACAAGAAAAACATATCAGATGTATACCTTCGTAGGCCACCGAACGCACTCGATCCTTGTATTTAAACTTGGATATCAATGGCTTTGAAATGTCGACCTCTACACATATGCGCGCGAACATCCCTCGTGACACCAGACTTGTGGCCTGATCAACGCGTATTGTCCTCCCTACCTTGTTCCCAAGCTTCCTGAGAAAGATCAAGCTATAGTACTCAGCAGGTAAACAAGGGATTCTTACCCAAACTAGCACCTTCTCTGTAACATCCGAGAAGGGATCGAAGTCCGGCACCCATGGTTTGACTAGCAAATAATGATCCATGACCATCCAAGGGCCCTCAAACATGGCATGCTCCAGATCCTCAACCGCGCCAAACCTGACGATGAAGTATCCATTATCGATCGCAATTAGATCCATCTTCCCCTTTGGTTTCCACATGGAATTGAGCCGGCGTAGAAGATATGCGTAACCGATCGACCTTCCCATTACACTTTGACGATGATCGCCTTCCGCCATGGTGCCCTGATCTGCTCTATCTCCGCTCTTGACAGTCGGATCGTAGGACAAAGTGGATCTTCATCCTCTTCATCTGAGATGTCGTCCTGGTCATCATCATCACTGGACTCGTCGCACCACTCTTCCTGGCTCACATGCATGTCCGCTTGGCCCCTTACTGTCTGCGCATATGTCCGTCTCGCCGTCTCCGAAACCTGCGGAACAAAGGTGTTAGAAATATGAATCGGTTCTCCAGAATCTTGCGTTACCTGCATGGCCATCGGCATCACAAAAGCCCTCAGCTCCTCCATCGGAGTCTCAGGGACAGCAGCACCATCCGTAGTAAGATCCGTCGTAAGGTCTGGAGGTAAGCCTGATACACTGCCATCGATCATCTTAGCCTTCTTCGTGCTACGTCGGAGCAAATCGTCGTCCTCTTCTGACCGTTGGCCAGAGAGCATCTCAACGTTCAAATCCATTTTTTTCGAATGTATATTCTCTCTATTTCAGTGTGTAAGTACAGAAGATGAAAGATCTATATATACAAGCTAAGGAAAGACTAAAGCCATTAGATTCAAAATTCAAACCCCAAGGTTGAGAGTGATTCTCTCAACCACAACCTAACTTCTCTAACAACTTGAAAGGAAGAATAATAAATGAAGACGAACAAGCAAAAAATGAAGACTTGAAGATCAGACAACACAACACAAAAGAAAAAAGGAGTAAATCGAAGACGCCATTTCCAGCGGTTGTCGCTTGTTGCTCGCCACCACTATCCGTCACCGCCTATCAGCACTTACTGATTCAAACTCTATCTCAAAGGTCAAGCTCAACTCGCCTTCGCCGCTTGTTGCTCCCATTGCTAGACTAAACCGCCAGCAGAGATGAGTTTGTCTTTTCCGAGCTGGGGTACTAGGTTTTTTTTTTTTTCTTTGCTTTGGTAGCCTTGAAGTAAATGAAAAGCAAAAACAAAACAAAACAAAAAAGCAATATATATATATATATATATATATATATATATATATATATATATATATATATATGCTAATATTCAAGTGCATCCACTTGTTCCCGTGAGTCCTGTGAGACCCTTCGAAAATGCACACAAGTTACTACATGAATGCACACAAGGTAGCTTGTGTGCATTCATGTTGGGCGAATTGCACACAATCTAGTCTGTGTGCATTCGTGTAGTAGCTTTTGTGCATTTATGAAGGGTCTCACGAGACTCATAGGAAGGGGTGGTCTCATTTGATTGCTACTATATATATATATAGTAGATTAAAGGCCTTTTATGCTTTGGTATTGAAGCCTAAAGTAAGTGAAAGGCAAAAACAATTTTTTTACGTACCTAGGCGCCCATCAACTGCCCGATGGGCACCTAGTGCCTTCTACAACACTGATTACCATGAATTACTACCAAAAAGTGTGCCTTAATTAGGAAGCCTCACCTGTAAGAAGATAAAGTACTCTTGTATGAAGTAAATAAAATTTACACTTCATTTCTGCTGGAAATAAAGAACGCAAGTTGATGATCGACAGATAAAGCAAACTGACACACCAATATGCAGAATATTATCAATCAAGTAGTTCTATGAGTCAAATTTTATTTATTTATTTTGTTTTGGAGGGGGAGGGGGTGTGGGTTGGTTTGTGCTGAAAGATGCCAAAGGTAGGAAAGGACTTGAATGCATGTGTTTTCAAGATAAAGTGATAAACTGTAAATTTAGGATATATCTTCAGACCATATAAAAGCAAGCTCCAGTGCTGCTATGAATTAGCAGTAAGAAACTTTTAAACATAAGTGAACTCACCTGGAAGGAAATGGACCAGACTTAAAAATTTCATTTTCATCTTCTTCACTAGGTTTACAAGCTTTCTATTGGAGCTGTATGTGGGCTTTCATGGCCAGCAGATAGGCTCATTGTGCAAGTTCTTGATGACTCCACAAATAGATCCATAAGGGTATCTCTTTCAACTAAATATTAAATAAACACATATGCTACTACAGTTTCCTGAAGTTGTAATGATTCTTAAATTGTGCATATGCAGGAATTAGTGGTTAACGAATGTGAAAAATGGAAAGGAAAAGGGGTAAATGTGAAATACGAGACAAGGAATAACAGGAATGGCTACAAGGCAGGTGCACTTAATGAAGGTCTAAATAAGAATTATGTCAACGATTGTGAATTTGTTGCCATCTTTGATGCCGACTTCCAGCCTGATGCAGACTTTCTTTTGAGGACCATCCCTTATCTTCTCGAAAACCCGGAATTGGGTTTGGTTCAAGCCAAATGGAAATTTGGTAAGGCAAAGATAGCACCCCAAATTTGAAAATACTTCATTAATGACCATGCATAATTTCAAAGAGAGAATGTGACTGAAGTTAATGGACCAAGAATTATATTGATCCATTAACTTCAGTTATGAGTAGATCACCCTCTCTTTCATACTGTGTGTATGTGTATGTATAGAGTAAAAAGGAAAAGGTTATACTTCTTGTCTGTCCCACCATACAACATTTTAGCTCTATTTTATAGTTGCTTAATGTGAGTGTACATTTTTCCACAGTAAATGCAGATGAATGTATGATGACTCGCCTACAAGAGATGTCATTAGACTATCACTTCAGTGTAGAGCAAGAAGTGGGCTCATCAACATGCTCATTTTTTGGGTTCAATGGTAAACCGTGAATTAGAATTTCTTATAAACATCCCTGCCTGAAAAGAATTACTTCATGTGAAGGATAATAATTATTTTGATTACAACTTAGGGAGTGCTGGAGTTTGGAGGATTCAAGCATTGAATGATGCTGGAGGTTGGAAAGATCGAACCACAGTGGAAGACATGGATCTTGCAATCAGAGCTAACCTCAGGGGTTGGAAGTTTCTTTATGTTGGTGACTTAGAAGTGAGTTGCTTTAAGTACTACTAAATTTATATATGGCAATGCCTTGAAGTCTGTAGAAAACTAAAATGGAAGAAGTTGTGGATACTAACCTCGTTTCCCTGTTTCTCTGTTTATTCTGTGTATTCTTTGACTGCTTACAACTCAGATATATATACTATAACAATGGACAGTTTCACAGACTTTTCACCTCCTAGCCTATTTATTGTTATGCCTTTCATCTTCTATAACTGCTTATTTCTAACACTCCCCCTCAAGCTGGAGCATAGATATTAAGCATGCCCAGCTTGTTACAAATATATTCAACCCTGTCCCTACTGAGCCCTTTAGTGAACAAATCAGCTAGTTGATCGCCACTACGAACATAAGCCATAGAAATTAAGCCTTGTTGAATCTTTTCACGCACAAAATGACAATCTACCTCAATATGCTTGGTACGCTCATGGAACACTGGATTATTTGAAATGTGTATAGCCGCTTGATTATCACACCACAAACGTATAGGCTTTACCACTTCCACACCAACTTCCTTCAACATATTGTGCACCCAAGTTATCTCACATGTCACATGAGCCATTGCCCTATACTCAGATTCCGCACTGGACCGAGCCACAACAGTTTGTTTCTTGCTTTTCCAAGAAACCAAATTACCTCCCACGAACACACAATATCCTGTTGTAGACTTCCTGTCGCTCAACGAACCTGCCCAATCAGCATCTGAAAAAGCCTCAATTCTCATATGTCCATGATCAGCATATAGAATGCCTTTACCGGGCGCATTCTTGAGATACTTTACAATTCGAACTGCTGCTTCCCAATGAGCTCGTGTAGGTGCTTGCATGAATTGACTTACCACGCTGACTGGAAAAGCAATGTCTGGACGCGTAATGGTGAGATAGTTCAACTTTCCCACCAACTTCCTATATCTTTCTGGAGAGTCAAAAGCCTCCCCCTCACCAGCCACAAGTCTAACGCCCTGCTCCATAGGGGTCTCGCATGGTTTTGATCCCAACAGCCCAGTATCATCAAGCAAATCTAACACATATTTCCTTTGGGAAAGAAATATTCCTCTCCGAGAGCGAGCAACTTCAATCCCTAGAAAATACTTCAATACTCCCAAATCTTTCGTGTGAAACTTTTCTTTGAGAAAAGATTTAAGAGCTTCAATTCCCACTGCATCACTACCTGTGATTACTATATCATCAACATAAACAATCAAGAGAATGCACCCAACATTAGTGTGCTTGAAAAAGACAGTATGATCACACATACTCCTTTGCATACCAAACTCAATAATCACGCTACTAAACCTCCCAAACCAAGCTCGTGGTGATTGCTTCAAGCCATATAGAGACTTCTTCAATTTACACACTCCCAGACTCCCCCTGAGCAACAAACCCAGGAGGTTGCTCCATGTAGACTTCCTCATCCAACTTACCATGCAAAAAGGCATTTTTGACATCTAGCTGATACAGAGGCCAATGTTTAGACGCAGCTAAGGAAATAAAAATACGTACTGAAGCGATCTTAGCGACAGGGGAGAATGTTTCTGTATAATCAACACCATAAGTCTGTGTATATCCCTTTGCCACTAAACGAGCTTTAAGTCTAGCCACAGACCCATCAGGATTCATTTTCACAACATAAACCCATTTGCAACCAACTGCCGTCTTACCAGCCGGGAGGGGTACCAAATCCCAAGTATGATTGTCTTCAAGAGCAACCATCTCTTCCTCCATTGCGTGTCTCCACCCATCATGAGCTATTGCTTGACTCAAAGTGTTTGGAACTGACACAGAATCTAAACGTGATACGAAGGTGCGAGATGATAGTGGCAAATGATCATAAGACACAAGAGAGGAAATAGGGTTTTGACAACGACGTTTACCTTTACGAAGGGCAATGGGAAGACCCAGGTCATTTGACGAAGATTCTGGTAAGGGGAAGTATCCACTTGCGGTTCAGGCGGTGCCACTGCATCTCTCGGCCGTCGAGTATAAACCTGTGTAATGGGGGGCCTAGAAACAGACTCGACTGGTATGGTAATAGTATACGTAAGGAAATCATTATCTGGAGTAGACCCATACCCAGACGATCCCACATCCCCAGAGAACACCATGTTTTCAAAGAAGGTAACATCAGCTGACACTAAATACCGCCCCAAGTTAGGTGAATAACACCTATAACCCTTTTGAGTACGCGAGTACCCCAGGAATATACACTTAAGTGATTTAGGATCAAGTTTCCTGCGTTGAGGACGAACATCCTGGACAAAACAAGTGCATCCAAATATTTTTGGTGGGAGATGAAAGAGAGGTTCTGTTAGATACACCAAAAAATAAGGAATTTGTCCTTTAAGGACAGATGAAGGCATCCTGTTGATCAAAAAACACGCAGTATGAACAGCATCAGACCAAAAAACCTTAGGCACCTTCATCTGAAACAAAAGTGCCCGAGCGACTTCTAACACATGACGGTTCTTTCTTTCTGCCACTCCATTTTGCTGAGGGGTATACGCACACGAGGACTGATGAACCATCCCATTTTGGCTCATATAAGTGGAAAAAGGTTTAGAGAAATACTCTTGTGCATTGTCACTTCGCACACACTTAATACTTTTATTAAACTGGGTTTTGATCTCAGCACAAAAATTACAAAAAATTGTAAACAACTCATCTCTAGATTTCATAAGATATAACCACGTACACCTAGAGAAGTCGTCTACAAATGTTACGAAATATCTAAACCCGTTCGTCCCTGTGACATGACAAGGACCCCAGACATCAGAATGAACAAGATCAAATATAGATTGCACTCTGTTATTGACACGAGGAGGATAGGAACCCCGACAATGCTTAGCAAACTCACACGACTCACACTGCAAAGTAGACAATGACTCTAAACCAGGAAACAACTTCTTTAGGATCGACAGTGATGGATGACCATACCGACAGTGTAGTTGAAGAGGAGAGGTATCACTCAACATGGCCTTGGACGGAGATACAGACTGTTCCAAAACATATAGTCCTCCGATTTCCTTCCCCTTACCAATAATCTTCTTCGTCAAAAGATCCTGAAATAAACAATAACCCGGAAAAAAGGAGACAAAACAATTCAAAGTCCGTGTGATTTGGCTAATGGAAAGCAAATTAAAGGGAAACTTTGGAAGATATAATATAGATGACAAAGGTAATGAGGAGGTTGCAACAGCACTGCCTCGACCTAAAACTGGAACAGATGACCCATCTGCCAGAGTAACCATGGCCCCAGGGTTTGATGAAGAATATGAGGAAAAAAATTTAGAATTACCTGTCATATGGTCACTAGCTCCGGAGTCAATGACCCATTGTGTAGATGAAGAAGACACACATGCAACAGGATTACCTGTTTGGACAAAGGTGGCAGAAGAAGTCGGTTGATTGGATGGAAACTGGGGTGGAGACTGCACAAGAGAAGACCCCTTCAGTTGATTGAATACTGCTAACTCCTCATTTGTCATAACCACCATATGTCCTTCAGGCCCAGAGGTTGTGTTAGCAAATCTTTGCTGTCTTGGTGGTTTAGGACATTGATTCTTGAAATGTCCTGGTTCTCCACAATTGAAACATACCCTTGGTCCTCCACGACCTCCTCCGCGGCCCCTTCCTCCACGTCCTCGATGACGACCACCTCCACCGTGACTATTGTACCCTTCATTAGTATACCTCCCTTGCGACACAAACGTACTTCCTTCGTTATTGCTGCCTTGTGATATAAAAACGTTCTTCTCGGGGGGTTCATCAGTACTTACTGATGCATTCTGTATCTGGGAGAATACTTGATCCAATGATCCTAACTCTTTGTTTCCCAGCAATTGTGACCTAAGAACCTCATACTCTTTGTCAAGTCCAGAAATCCAGCTAAAGGCAATTAATTGATCACGTTGAGCTTTCATTGTTTTTACATCAGTTGTAATAGGCATCGCAGTACATAAAGCTTCACTTAAACTTTTGAAATCATAATAGTAATCTCGTAGATCTCGACCCTTTTGATTAGGACGATAAACATCCTGGGACAACTGATACAGTTTCCTCAAATTACTTGACCCACTAAACCATTCAGACACTAGATCCCACACTGCTTTAACCGTGGTACAATGTTGCATTGATAAGATCACTTTCCTATCAATACAATTAATTACCCGCGATAACAAAGCTTTATCATCTGCCTCCCACTCCTTATTATCTGGAGGGCAATCTGTATCTAAATGGTCACCTTTACCCATTCCATCCAAATTAATTTTGACCAAAAATTTCCATTCAGCAAAATTAGACCCATCAGCAGCCAGAACTACATCAATTAATTTAGACGGAGTAGACACAACAGTAATATTTTTGTTTTCTGCCATATTATATACGTGCCCAGTAAAAAAAAACACAGCAATACTCCAAATTAAAGCTGGATATGAAATTACCGCAGTACTGAACCACAATACTGAACTTCCATTATCCAATATTCAACAACACTCCAGAAGGCACAAAGAAAGGCACACACTACTCCAAAAGGCAAAAACAAACAATATTACCGCACAGCAGGTTTGTCTTCTCTCTCGCGAACGATATGAAGTTGCTCGAAACCTCTTTCTCTCCACTCATACGGACTCTACACTTCACGGCGAGCCCACCGGTGTATTCGCCGTCGAAGATGGTCGCCGGAAAACTCCTTCACGCGCCGGCGCGTGAGTCGGCGAGCAGTCTGTGACGGTGGCGCGTGGCGGCGCGTGGCTGCTCCGGTGACGTCGCGACTCGAGCTCCGGCGTCGTCCTCCCGTTCCGAGCAAAGCCCACTACTTCACTCTCACCGGCTCTGATACCATGTAGAAAACTAAAATGGAAGAAGTTGTGGATACTAACCTCGTTTCCCTGTTTCTCTGTTTATTCTGTGTATTCTTTGACTGCTTACAACTCAGATATATATACTATAACAATGGACAGTTTCACAGACTTTTCACCTCCTAGCCTATTTATTGTTATGCCTTTCATCTTCTATAACTGCTTATTTCTAACAAAGTCCTACTATCAGAGAGATAACGTAGTCCATTTAGGTGCAAAATGAACTTCCAAGCACCTTCAAGGCTTACAGGATTCAGCAACAACGGTGGTCATGTGGCCCAGCTAACCTCTTCCGTAAGATGTTAAAAGAAATCCTCCTTTCTGAGGTAACAAAATTCCATTCCATTTTCATAATATGAATAAGAATTCATAGAAATTACTGTGTTTCTTTTCTATATGATGCAGCATGCTTCTCTCTACAAGAAATTTCAAGTGATCTATGCATTCTTTGTGAGAAAGATTATTGCACATTGGGTCACCCTTTACTTTTACTGCATCGTGATCCCTATCATAGTCGTACATCCTGAAATAGATCTTGTGAAACCCTTGGCACTATATCTTCCTGCTACAGTTACTATTCTTAATGCTGCTTGTACATGGAGGTATGCAAGCCTAAACATAGAGCAGTCAACTCTTAGTATTGGTTTTCATAATTCTTAAACCAGAATCAAGCTACATATATTTCCCTTCTTCCCACACAGGTCTATCCATCTTATACTACCTTGGATACTCTTCGAAAATGCCATGTCTCTCCATCGAGCTAACGCTGCACTAATAGGACTCTTAGAAGGCAGCGGTGTTAATGAGTGGGTCGTAACAGAGAAGCTAGGATATGCATTGAGGCAGAGGCCTAGTCTCAGAGCACCATGGACACAAGAGTGGCAGTTTATTATACGCAGGTAACATTTTGAATATGGATGCTTTGAATTTGTCTCAACCCTTAATACAATTGCAAAAGGCTGCTACAAGACCAGTAAATTGCTGATATACCAAACCTTATAGAATGACCATGAAACTGCTATTTCACAAACAGGATCCACCTGCACGAGTTTCTGATGGGACTTTATCTTATGCATACTGCTGTCCACGACCTGATGTATGGTAACAACCACTTCTACGGATTCCTATTCATGCAAGCAGCAGCCTTTTTCACAGTCGGAGTCAGCAATGTTGGAACATTCATCCCCAACTAGATATTCGAGCTACCAGACATTATGGGGCAGTAAGAAGACAGATGATAATGCTAAGCTGTTGAACACTACCAGTCTGGAAGTAATAAGCAATGTTGCTATATATATATATATATATATATATATATATGTGTGTGTGTGTGTGTGTGTGTGTGTGTGTGTGTAATATGTAGTATATTAGTATATAAGTGTTGTCTGTCTGTCAGTCAGTGTGTAACTTTTAAGCCTTGTAAGTTCTCCTTTCAATGTAATATACCGTATTTCCTGTGGTTGTAATAAATAAACTATGAATCTCTAAATTCTTAGCTTGTGATGAAGCATCATAGTCCATGGAGTGTCCTACGTAGTAAAATTTACAATTTACAAAATCAATGAAACTCCAAACCTTACGAAAGGTTCTAAACGAGTAAATTTACATTATGAAATGATGAATGGTGAAGTAAAAGAATGTACACAAATACAAATACATTTAATAGTGTGCATAGAGAGAGATAAACTAACCTGATAGATGCATCGAAGAGCTGGAGAATCCGATTCAGCAATTCCGTGTTTCAGAGCTCCTGAAGAACAGACGATCAGTGGGGTGCCTAATTCACAGCCTGAGCTCCGGTGAGGTGATGATTGTAAATTGGTAATGGAACAAACCGACCCGTTTTTCATTTCCAATCGGGTTTGTTGTACCATAGCTACCATAGCTTATAAGTCTATACTTCTATACTATATATAAAAAACAGAATCATCAATTTAACTTCCCGTCTAATTTCTAAAAAATCTCTTATTCTAGTAAAATATATTCTTTTTTACTTTCCTATTCGGACTATAATTATAGATTAAAACTCATATTCTAATATTATAAAATAGTATAATACAATTCCTAATAAAATATGTTGTTTCTTATTTTCCTATTCGTACTATAATTCAAACATTAAAATTTCTATTAGTAATACAATAGGACAATCTATATATCTATCTATCTATAATTAAAAGTAAAATCCTCCTCCTAGCATTTTTTCGCCCAAATTCATTGTATTGATCAAATTATTTAATTATGATAAATTATGGAATAATTAATGATGATAATAGAAATCCTAGAAAAATATAGAATAAAAAAAATATTTAATTATAGTTATATTAAATAACTTTTGACTCGATTGTTCGTTTTGGACAAAAAAAAAAAATTCAAATCACTGTAGGCGGTTTGCCCCTCCAATTTCTCAAAAAAAAAATGCTTCTTTTGTTCTTAATTTTAATGTTTTTTATGTATTTAGATGGTTTCAATAATATTTTGAATCATTTTACAATTACTTATTAAATAGTTTGTAAGAAAAAAACTAGAGGAACCTTATATTTTATTAATGAATTTTTATAATTTTTAGTTTTTTTAAAAAATAAATAAATAAATAATAAAAATAAAAAATCGGGCGCCTAGGTGCCGAAAAATCCGCGCCATAGGCACTAGGCGCTCCCTTGACGCCTAGGGGACGCCTAACGTATTTTGCAACCTTGCAATTAAGGTTTGCGCAATATTATAAAAATATGGTAATACAATTCCTATTCGTAGTATAATGTTACATTAAACTATGGTAATAGTAATTTTTGAAGATTACTTTTTCAATTTTTGGAAATGAATATTACTATTTGACTCAAAATTCTAAATGATCCCTGATTAACTATTTCAAAAAGAAAACAGATTAACTATAATATATGTATTATATATGAGATACATATGAATCCGAGCTCAATGATTTCTCATAGAAAATAGTAATGCAATGGACAATGGTCAATTGTATGTGGCTTTTCCCGAATCACTCATCCTGATGGCCTGAAAGTGTTAGTTCTAGACGAGGATGGACAATATTTTGTTGATATTACCAATGTCGTCAACAAAGAGGTTTTCAATAATGTATAGTTCCAGCCAATGATATTATGTTTTCTTTTCATGCGAGGATGACAAAATTGGTATATATCTACACAGAAATTATATCTTCCATACAAATAAATTATGATAGTAAATGTTTTATATAACTGAGTTGCTAGACAATGAGCAAATTTGCCACTTAATACAAATCATAAACACTGATATATAAAATCTCTAAATTTTCAGCACCGGATGTGTATATCTACACATTGGTTATTAATTGGGCAATTATTTGATCGAATTCAAGCAATGATAACATTAGAAAATACAGTCGGTACAACTCAATTATTCAATTGCACTATATAATATTCAATGTTATAATTTATATAATTGTATATCGATCCAAATATTCTTAAAATATTATAACAAATCAATTTTGTGCATCACACGGGTGAAAATACTAGTTCTTTTTAAAAGCCCAAAACTCCATACGTTTGTTGGTCTGTGGACCATAATTTCCGGATTTAGTCATTATTCTATGGACCATGGTCCAAACAGTTGTGTGGATCACAAATAAAAAATACATTATTTGAGTAATAAAAGTATATATTATTTTGTTTAGTATCAAATAATGTATATTCCCTTACTAAAAAAAATAATGTACATTCAATAAATAATAATGTACTTTTAGTATATTAAAAATGTACTTTGTATTCATTGGAAGTACATTGTTTTGTATATTATCAAATAATCCACATTCAATATACAAATAATGTACTTTTAGTATATTAAAAATATACTTTGTATTCATGAAAATACATTATTTTGTATATTATCAAATAATGTACATGCAGTACACAAATAATGTACTTTTAGTATATTAAAAATGTACCTTGTATTTATGATCTATAGAAAATTTTACCTTCTAGAAGCACAACTTATAACCATGGGACATTATGATAAATGTTCATTTTTAATATATTGAATGTTCATTATTAATATACTAAATGTTCATTATCAAATAATGAACGTTTAGTATATATTAAAAATAAACATTTAATATAGAAATCTATCTAATCTATTCTAATCTAATCTATAATAAAGCAACAACTTCTTGCAATTTTCATTTTTCCGCTCATTCAATAATGTGTCGTCGTTTTATGTACATATATTACTGATCTGATTTAATTGCCTATTCACACGGTTTTACACCTATTGATCAAATTTAACATAGGTAATTATGTAATTAATCGGCTAATTTATTGCTTTGCAACTTACGAGTATTAAAGATGGTCGGTGCACAATATTCAAACTATCTGAGAACTCGAAACGGGAAAAATGAAATTGAATTTACAATTTACATTTTATACTCTAGAACTAATATTTACAACTAATACATATGTTCTATTTTTGAAAATAAGTAATTTGAAATTTGAAATAACATAAATAACAGGACTATTCGTTTCTCTAGGAGAACAGTCCTGATAGCATTCCATCTCTATATATAGAGGTCGATGAGATGAAGAAGTTCAATCTAACTTCTATACAATACATACGTAATACTCTGTCAAAATAAACAATGCCTTCTCAATATGTACTGGTCAAGGACATTAATTAGTCTGCACACAAGCGAGCAGTAAGAGTGAGATTCGTACGAACATTGCCAAATCATGAAGAGTAAAGAATGTATATTTCATGATAAGGAGGTAAAAAATAGTTTAGAGTGCAATCTTTTTAATATTTTTCTATCATACGAATAGCAGATTTATATAAAAGAGCCATGTTTTTGTTCTTTTATCATACGAATAATATTTTTCTATCATATGAATAGCAGATTTATCTATAAGAGCTATGTTTTTGTTTTTTTGTTTCTTTATCATACGAATATCAATTACATAATCTGTACTATAATAGGTTACTTTGCTCTTTATTATGTGGTGCTACACCTATAAAACAACTGGACATAAGAATCGGATTAAGTTCAACTATAGCACTATTGTCAAAGAGAGTAAACAAAAACTATTCTCTACGTTGATGTTTCCCTCAAGTCTTTCGAATCATTGAGGAATTCGGATGAAGTTAATGATGATGAGATGTTTGGTAAGCATATGCATTCTGAACAAAAACTATTCTCTACATTGATGTTTTCCCTCAGGTCTTTCGAATCATTGAGGAATGAATCCGGATGAAGTTAATGATAAAGAGATGGCATATGCATTCTGGACTAGTTATCTTCATCAAACAAACATAAGAAGTCTAAGTGAAACAAGAGAAAATTTGAAGTTTGTGTGTGTGTGTTGACAAAGTCATTTGAAGTTTGTGTGTGTGTGGACAAAGTTTTAGAATTATAATGTTGTCTTAGCACTACTGGAAATTTCGTGGTCGGAAATTTCAGAATTTCCAGTAGTGTAGACTTGAACTCACAACCTTTCAAATGGAAGTCCAACCCGAGTACCATTAGACCACATAGTCTTGGTACTCATATTTCACATTAAAACTTCTATTACTCTAAATCTATATTGGTTACAATTTATTTATCTAATTTGTTATATTAGCCTATTTTTTTGTCAGTTAATAATTTTGCAGGTACTACTCTAAATAACAGTCAGTGAAGACAACTAAGCAGAATAATGGAAAGTCATATGTTGCTACAACATTGAAGTCATGATACACCTATTCTATGGCAAGGAATTCAAGTTTACTGGCAAAGTCCAGTGAAACAGAGTACTGGAGTCATCATTTATAAGTATGGCAGCAAATATTTGGCACAACAATGTTATATAGTTATTTTAAACCATATCAATGAAAAATGAATAGTCATACTAGAAATTACAATCAGCCAAAGTTGATTGTATGATCATTAATTAAGCCATCAAAACTAAAAAGACAATGACATAGAATGTTTATCAATATAACTGGCCAGGAATTACACATCAGAAAAGCACATTGTAAAGCAAATATTTGGCAAAGTGACTATTGGTACTAAAAAGAAGCAGAACAGCAACAACAAAGGTATTTCACACATATTTATTGCTTCAATTAACAATGTTACCAGCAAGAGCATCTTCTACTTAATCAATATTTGCATAGAAGGGAAACACAAATATTTGCAGGGTTCTGGGGATGCAATTTGTCAGTTATGCATAGTGTGGACTACCGTTACCTCCGCACTTGCCTCTTC